AGCAATTTGCTTCCATGTATAGCAACGAGCGTTCTTTACATCCCCATTGATTACCATTAACCTATTGCTATGCGTCGCTTGCTTACAAAGGTCAGTTATGTTTCTCCGGCAGGTTCACTGACCCTTCGTGCTACCCAGACATGTAAGTATAATTAGTTGTGAATCGCCTGGATGGGTCATGTTTACTCAGTAAGGATACTGCGTCATGTTTCGTAAGGTTACCAGCTTTTGGGGTGGACCATACTGAAGCCCCGTCCAGGACGAAAACACGCACCAGACTGGCCAACTCATTCAGTCAATTTGTACATAACTCTATGCTACGTTCAAGACTGGTCCCCTTTGCAGTTTTCTCTAACATAATTCATCTACGGTGCATAACTTAAGCCGAAGCAACCATGTTTGGACCCCATGGCATAGCAACGTTAACGACTAAAACTTATCAAAAACTTGAAGACGGCACCAGAAGGCTTCTTGACAAAACCAACTAGCGCACCCCGACAGTGCTCACATGGCTTTTCTGTTAACCTTAACCAATGCTTTGCAAGCACCGGTGCTCAATAACGGCTAAGCGTTTACTGGCTTTGTTGCGGACTACCCAGGTTGCTGATCTATTCAAATAACCGGCTTCACAGCAGCCTTCTACACCCTATCTTTTGCTGGTAAGCTTATACGCCGATGTCTTCTTGGCTGGTTAAGCCACTGTAAAGCCACACGGGCATTGTTGATACGCGAAATTACCATTTAATTGATCTGGTTGCTGAATGTGTCACAGCTACCTTGATACCTTCGTTCACCGTTATCTTGGCTGTTCAGTGATAGCTATTAACTTTAGGTGTGTAGGCGCAGTTCAGCGGCAGTATTTTGCAAGTTTTAGGTTCAAGCGCATGGCAAGGCGTCAAGGGCCACCCATCGATGTACTCACTAGTCTGCGTCCAGCCAGAGTCTGACCTACGTACAGTTACGTCCGCATACCCCAGGGCCCTAAGCTGGCTCCGACAACGGAATGCATGGCTGAGGCGATGGATTCAGTATGGATAACGGCTGATATCCTGGGATCCACGATATTATTTGGGTGTGCTTATAGACCACCTGATACCTCAGTTAAGGGTGACAAGGCACTTATGGATGCTTTTGCGCAAGCGTCAACTTTTCCTGAGATTACAAGCTCGTTGCAGGAGATTTCAAATTGCCTGAGTTAATCTGGTTCTCACCTGCTGCAACAATGAAGTATGCAGCCCTACAAGCATGTACCAATTTAGGCGGCTGGACACAACATGTATCTGCTCCAACCAGGGAGGAACACATCCTTGACCTAATATTTACTCTCGGCATCCCATCAACGCGAGTGGCAGTCGGCCGGGAGTTTCCGGGTAGTGATCACAGATTAGTGCACTGCTCGGTTTACTTAAAGCAACATAATGCCCACCCAACAGGACCAGACGCAGTCTTAGTATACCGCCCAATGCACCTCGTCAATTGGACTACCTTTGCCGTGCTCGTCCGATCAAATAATTGGGATGAATTCATTATGTCTGATTCTGTGGATCGCTCGGCCGAGCTGTTTTATGAAGAAATACTGCACTGTCTCGACTCTCTAGCTCCCGTGTCGCATTTAATAAGGCATTCTTCTAAAAGTGTGACCCAAACCAAAATGCATAACAGAATGCGTCAGCTTAGACGATCCTATTACAAAACCTTCAATTTTGCTCACGTCATGAGAGCGAACGAGATGGCACACCAGTTTTCTGCCAGAGCTAAGCTGCAGCAAACTAAGCAAGAAATAGCCGCACTAAATAGTGTGAACAAAGCTAAGAGTCTCAGTTGGCTGCTGCGCTCTCGAACACCTAACTATGGACGTAAGATTTCTACTCTAAAATTCAGTCACAACGAAACGTCTAGTGACCCAAGAATCTTATGTGAAGCCTTCAGCTCACATTTTAAAGAATCGCAGTGTTTGGAAATAAGCTCAACATTTCAGGCCCTGAAGGTGCCCGGTAGCCAGTCCCTGTCCTTTGTACAGTTTGACTTAAGTAGTGTCCGTTCTGCGATCGCAACTACCAAGCCATCCTGGGACCCTGGTCCAGACGGAATCCCGCCCAGTCTACTTAAGAATGGTGGTGAAGATATCCCTATGCTTCTTTTGAAAATCTTTACCTTATCAATGCAAAAAGGTCAATGCCCGGCCGCATGGAAACATTCTCTCATAGTGCCAAGGCATAAGGGCAGAAGCCTACAGGAAGTTGGTAACTATCGCCCTATTAACCACACTTCTATTATCTCGCGCGTGATGGAGAAGCTGATTAAAAAAGCCCTCATGACTCATCTGTACGCAGGCGAGCACATAAATGAATCTCAGCACGGGTTTCTAAGTGCTCGGTCTTGTGCAACCTGTCAGCTGGACTTCCTCAATTTGGTCACCGAGGCCATTGACTCTAATCAAGCAGTTGTAATTCTTTACCTTGATATGCAAAAGGCGTTTGACAGGGTACCACACATGCGCCTGCTGCATAAGCTAAAGGCTTATGGGGTAGACGGTCCTCTATTAGACTGGCTGGGTTCCTATTTAATAGGACGTACGCAGTCTGTTAAGGTTGAACAAACTATATCCACCCCGACCGCCGTCCCCAGTGGCGTGTTGCAGGGGTGTGTCCTTGGCCCTACCCTATTTTTGATTTATATCAATGACCTCTGCAAGATTTTGCAACACGGTCGCTACTTTATCTTTGCTGACGATGTGAAAGTTGTCTACGACTTTCCCCGTGGTAATGAATTTTCCGCACTTAATAGTATCCGTGAGGATCTTAAAGCACTTGAAAAGTGGTGCGAACACTGGCAAATGACCTACTCCGCTCAAAAATCTAACGTCATGACCCACAGATTCTCTATACCTGCTGGGTCCCTAACAATAAACGGTATCACTATCAAACAGAGTATCATAACAACAGATCTGGGCTTGCGCTACTCTATGAGCCTCAACTTTGCAGAGCAAGTGCATTATCAAGTCGCAAGGGTAAGATGATTATCGTTCCACATACGCCGTTGCATAGAAACCGCCGATGCAAGGCTAGAACTGTATAAGAGTCACGTCAGGCCACATCTAGAATATTACTCTTTTATATGCAGCAATCTACGTAAGTCGGACCGTGTTCTGCTTGAGAAAGCTCAGCGACGCTTTCCGAAGATGTTGACTCCACCGCAGCAAGCGCTGAATTACCGACAAAGGTGTGAACACCTTAAAATTCAGCCACTATGGCAAAGGCGCATTATCCTTAACATGTGCTTCTTACACAAGCTAATTCATAGAAAGTTGCACAGTAATATCACTTGTCTTAAACTAAGGAGCGCGTCTGAATCGAAACTCCGAAACAGGGGCCATTCCGTTACTCCGCTAAAGGCAAAGAAGAGACTGCGGTCTCGTTTCTTCTTAGTTGTCTACGTGAACATATGGAACCGGTTGCCTCCCAGAATAAGAGAAATCCAAAATTTGCAGGTCTTCAGGAAGGAGATGCAAAAATTCCTATGTTTTGGCAATCTACAAAGCATCTTCCATATCTGCGATTCGCAAGACCACTTCTTTGAAACTGGCCCTGATATAGCTTGAGGACGCCCACGATGTAGTGCAAGACATCTAAGCTCCTTCAGCTCAAAACTCATCCACATTCATTGTGGTTACCGTTCTGGCACCTAAGAGACTAACGGTATCCGTCGCACCTATTTTCCAGGGTTTAAGAATAGCCAACTGAATACAAGATGATCTTATTCTTCACCGACCTCTTCCTTCAATCCTTATTTCTTATCTACATCTTCATACCTTCTCTTCAGACTTTTATCACTTTTCAACTTCTTGACCACTTGATCCGTGGAAAAATTATTAGGCTTATGACCTCTATGGTACCCCTAGTAAAGGCATGGTACCAGACCTAAGCCTTGCATAGAATGTTGAAAACGTTTTCTGCTGCGGATGCACTTAAGCGTAGCATTAGAATTGTCCAAACTCGTCTAAATGCCGGCTTTAAATGAACCTTTATGTGTCTTCCTAGATGTCGGTTGCCAGCGGGCCCTAATTGAAGCTTTTTCATTAAGCCTGACCACTAGTTACTATACTCAGCAGTTTCCAAACACTATCAGTAGTTAAACCGCAAAATAAAAAATATATCTGTCTTATTGTTGACAAAGAGCACACATTCAAAGTTCTAGGCCCAAGAATCAGACATTTTGCTCTCCACTTACTCTCACTTGACCCCATATACTTAGCTTTATCTGGTATACATGTGCCTTTCGCTATTGGCAACACTAGTAGACAGGCATAAATAAATAAATAAATAAATAGTTTATTCTCGAATTTCCGAGACACACCTGACCAGGCATGATCAACGTTTACAAGCAATTTATGTTTCGCAACAAACATGTTGCTATGTATGTAATCGGCAGTAAGCCGAAAGTTGTCCAAGCTTTGGAAATTGTAAAATTAATCTTGAGGTATAAATTCGTCAAAATATGACGACAAGTTGGGTTCTAATGGTGTAGTGTAAACAGGCTGTGCATTCAGTTTGTAGAGAAAACTTGTCAGGAAAATATTACATTAGGATTCAGGTCGGCTTGCCAGTATGTAGTTGTGGGCAGTGACTTTATTCATCGGCGCGTCACATCCGCCACGGCGCAGTGTTGTTAAGCGGACATTTGTGGCTTTTTATAGGGAGAACGCTTGCCAGGCGAAAACCCACCACGTCCTGAAACACTGTCAGAAATCCGTTTGTACACTAATGTAAAAACTGGCAGAGCAGCTCGTCGACTGATTTAACCGTAGGTTAACCGCCGTCAATTGCCTTCTAATTTCCTCTGTTAGCTGAACAGGTTATTTTTGCTCGCGGCGGCCATAATGGCTGAGGCTAATGGAGGGTTAGACCTTCGTCATCTTCGTGTCCAGGTAAGCAAAACTTCCGTTTCTTGCTTCTAGAATTTACAGGATTATGTATACTTCGCAGGAGTATAAAGGCGTCATGTCCAGCTACCATTACTGGNNNGGGGGGGGGGGGTGGGGGGGGGGGGGGGGGGGGGGGGGGGGGGGGGGGGGGGGGGGGGGGGGGGGGGGGGGGGGGGGGGGGGGGGGGGGGGGGGGGGGGGGGGGGGGGGGGGGGGGGGGGGGGGGGGGGGGGGGGGGGGGGGGGGGGGGGGGGGGGGGGGGGGGGGGGGGGGGGGGGGGGGGGGGGGGGGGGGGGGGGGGGGGGGGGGGGGGGGGGGGGGGGGGTGGGGGGGGGGGGGGGGGGGGGGGGGGGGGGGGGGGGGGGGGGGGGGGGGGGGGGGGGGGGGGGGGGGGGGGGGGGGGGGGGGGGGGGGGGGGGGGGGGGGGGGGGGGGGGGGGGGGGGGGGGGGGGGGGGGGGGGGGGGGGGGGGGGGGGGGGGGGGGGGGGGGGGGGGGGGGGGGGGGGGGGGGGGGGGGGGGGGGGGGGGGGGGGGGGGGGGGGGGGGGGGGGGGGGGGGGGGGGGGGGGGGGGGGGGGGGGGGGGGGGGGGGGGGGGGGGGGGGGGGGGGGGGGGGGGGGGGGGGGGGGGGGGGGGGGGGGGGGGGGGGGGGGGGGGGGGGGGGGGGGGGGGGGGGGGGGGGGGGGGGGGGGGGGGGGGGGGGGGGGGGGGGGGGGGGGGGGGGGGGGGGGGGGGGGGGGGGGGGGGGGGGGGGGGGGGGGGGGGGGGGGGGGGGGGGGGGGGGGGGGGGGGGGGGGGGGGGGGGGGTGGGGGGGGGGGGGGGGGGGGGGGGGGGGGGGGGGGGGGGGTGGGGGGGGGGGGGGGGGGGGGGGGGGGGGGGGGGGGGGGGGGGGGGGGGGGGGGGGGGGGGGGGGGGGGGGGGGGGGGGGGGGGGGGGGGGGGGGGGGGGGGGGGGGGGGGGGGGGGGGGGGGGGGGGGGGGGGGGGGGGGGGGTGGGGGGGGGGGGGGGGGGGGGGGGGGGGGGGGGGGGGGGGGGGGGGGGGGGGGGGGGGGGGGGGGGGGGGGGGGGGGGGGGGGGGGGGGGGGGGGGGGGGGGGGGGGGGGGGGGGGGGGGGGTGGGGGGGGGGGGGGGGGGGGGGGGGGGGGGGGGGGGGGGGGGGGGGGGGGGGGGGGGGGGGGGGGGGGGGGGGGGGGGGGGGGGGGGGGGGGGGGGGGGGGTGGGGGGGGGGGGGGGGGGGGGGGGGGGGGGGGGGGGGGGGGGGGGGGTGGGGGGGGGGGGGGGGGGGGGGGGGGGGGGGGGGGGGGGGGGGGGGGGGGGGGGGGGGGGGGGGGGGGGGGGGTGGGGGGGGGGGGGGGGGGGGGGGGGGGGGGGGGGGGGGGGGGGGGGGGGGGGGGGGGGGGGGGGGGGGGGGGGGGGGGGGGGGGGGGGGGGGGGGGGGGGGGGGGGGGGGGGGGGGGGGGGGGGGGGGGGGGGGGGGGGGGGGGGGGGGGGGGGGGGGGGGGGGGGGGGGGGGGGGGGGGGGGGGGGGGGGGGGGGGGGGGGGGGGGGGGGGGGGGGGGGGGGGGGGGGGGGGGGGGGGGGGGGGGGGGGGGGGGGGGGGGGGGGGGGGGGGGGGGGTGGGGGGGGGGGGGGGGGGGGGGGGGGGGGGGGGGGGGGGGGGGGGGGGGGGGGGGGGGGGGGGGGGGGGGGGGGGGGGGGGGGGGGGGGGGGGGGGGGGGGGGGGGGGGGGGGGGGGGGGGGGGGGGGGGGGGGTGGGGGGGGGGGGGGGGGGGGGGGGGGGGGGGGGGGGGGGGGGGGGGGGGGGGGGGGGGGGGGGGGGGGGGGGGGGGGGGGGTGGGGGGGGGGGGGGGGGGGGGGGGGGGGGGGGGGGGGGGGGGGGGGGGGGGGTGGGGGGGGGGGGGGGGGGGGGGGGGGGGGGGGGGGGGGGGGGGGGGGGGGGGGGGGGGGGGGGGGGGGGGGGGGGGGGGGGGGGGGGGGGGGGGGGGGGGGGGGGGGGGGGGGGGGGGGGGGGGGGGGGGGGGGGGGGGGGGGGGGGGGGGGGGGGGGGGGGGGGGGTGGGGGGGGGGGGGGGGGGGGGGGGGGGGGGGGGGGGGGGGGGGGGGGGGGGGGGGGGGGGGGGGGGGGGGGGGGGGGGGGGGGGGGGGGGGGGGGGGGGGGGGGGGGGGGGGGGGGGGGGGGGGGGGGGGGGGGTGGGGGGGGGGGGGGGGGGGGGGGGGGGGGGGGGGGGGGGGGGGGGGGGGGGGGGGGGGGGGGGGGGGGGGGGGGGGTGGGGGGGGGGGGGGGGGGGGGGGGGGGGGGGGGGGGGGGGGGGGGGGGGGGTGGGGGGGGGGGGGGGGGGGGGGGGGGGGGGGGGGGGGGGGGGGGGGGGGGGGGGGGGGGGGGGGGGGGTGGGGGGGGGGGGGGGGGGGGGGGGGGGGGGGGGGGGGGGGGGGGGGGGGGGGGGTGGGGGGGGGGGGGGGGGGGGGGGGGGGGGGGGGGGGGGGGGGGGTGGGGGGGGGGGGGGGGGGGGTGGGGGGGGGGGGGGGGGGGGGGGGGGGGGGGGGGGGGGGGGGGGGGGGGGGGGGGGGGGGGGGGGGG